ATTCACTAAACACTACAAAAGTTATTTTTTTCCTGTAAAATGATGAACAAAAAAATACATCAAATTCTAGGATTATTAAATCGCACAAAACAGTTTAAAAGAAGAGTAAATTTTATATTATTTAAACATTAATATAACCGTGAATCTTCTTATCTCCTTACAACATCTGTCATTAATTCATCTCAAAACGTTAACTGCTTTAGGGCTGCCCTTGCCGGAGACTGAAGCAAAATAAATACAACTAAAGACATCATTCAGTGGCCTTTCAAACCCTTCTGTTTTCGAAGTATCAATGATTATTAGCACACACACACACACACATACACACACACACGAAAACAGACATACAAATAAGCTCAATAAACCGTAGCACCAATGTTTTATCATTACAAGGTTTAGATTAAAAAAAAAAAAAAGGAAGAGAACTAAAATTATTGTCATATTATATTTTAGCTTAAATCATAAATAATTTTTAAAAAACCTTTAGAAAAAATCTGTTCATTCTTTTGTGTCTCTTTTTTCATTAATAAAAATCCAAAAAATGTTCAACATTATTACTGATATGTTCAAAGAGTAATGATTTTAGTTGAAGTGTTTCTTAACGGTGACTTATTCTGGTTTCATAACTATCTACCTTCCAAATTTTAAACATAAAAATGTAATGTTGAACATTAACTACCATTTACTAGCTTAGTCATCTTTTTTTTCCTGGAAAAAAAAAACATTTTTTTCTGTAAATGATCTTTAAGCAGTTAACTGTGCACATATACTCTCACATATACACAGATGCAGACACAAAAATACACATACAAATACGTATACATTCATTGACAGACAGATATATTCACCAAGATCTACAGTTCAGTTAGTACTGTTCTTTACATTCAGCAATCATTCAGTAAAGCATAAGAGAATAAAAAAATTTTTTTGTTTAAATATAAAAAAACTATAAAAATTTCCACAAATTATATACATAATAAGTATATGATTAAGAAAAATAAGAAAAAGAACTAGTTTCCGTTCCTTTTTCTTCTTTTCACCTTAAATACACATTTTTATATTCTCTGCATAAACAACAGTTCGAATTAGTTGCTTTTTTTTTCCTTCTTTTTATCCAACACTTTAACGAAGTAAAAAGAAAACAATATGAAAAAAAAA